TTTCAAATCTGGAGGTCCCTCGTTGAAATCCTCGGAAGCCCCGAGTTCAACTCCTCGACCGCGTTGTGTACATAGCCAACTGGTCAGCCTCTCACCAGTTGGGATTCTTGATAGCTTATGTTATATTTGAAATACATTTTTTCTATTTATTTACAGTGTCCCCGATCAGCACATTTGTGCTCAAACACTTAAATAAAGATAAATTATTAATTTATACTCATCTGGATAATTTTGGCATCTCCTCAACAAATTGGTCCACTGGCGACGCGGTTAAAGAAGAGAGACAGAGAGAGAGAGAGAAAATCAAACAAACAAACAAACAAACAAACGAATAACGTGAATTTTCAAATATGCTTTTCCGATCAAAGAGCTTCTTTTCGAATTTCTGTTGAACTGGGAGAAACGACGTCCATTTGTACCAAATTGCTTGGAAACTTCAAATCACAATGGTGAAAATAAATTTTCAAATAATAATTGTTCAAAGATTGCAGTGTTTTAAGCTTGTCTAAGCTTTACTGTGGTGTTATCAAACCTATTCCATTTTTAGCATGTCAACAAGCTCTAGGGATGGAGAATGGTGATATCCTGGACGAACAAATCACTGCTTCTTCAGAAAAAGGTAGCAATCATGCCGCTCACCAAGGAAGATTACACTTTAAAAAAGTTCAAGGTATATTTGGAGCTTGGACAGCTGATAATGACGATCTTCACCAATGGCTCCAAGTTGATACTGGCAGTCCTTATACTAAAGTAACACGTGTAGCAACACAAGGAAGGGATGCGACCGGTACCAACCAGTGGGTGACCAGGTACAAACTGCAATACGGGATTAACGGCGTGCACTTCCGGTATTACAGGGAGCAAGGACAAACCACAAACAAGGTAAATCAAAAACGGCCTGTCTTATCGAGGGTTCTCAATGGGGTTAACCGTTAGCCGTAATACAGGCCAAAAATTTAGCCGTTAGGCGTACAAATTGGAAAAGTGTACCCTTCAGTCATAAAAAAGTAATAACCGTCAAAAAAATTGTATCCATAAAAGTGAAAATCTCAATATCGTTTGTCAATATATTCTTCGCTTGAATTGAATTCGAAAACCATTCAGTGGATAAAATCAAGAACTCTTTATGTTGTAGGAGATAAAAAAAGAAGACACTTTTCCAAGTTTTAGGTCTGTGCGTTTTCCCAGACTTCAGATATTCGACGAAATATTTTGCACAAATTTACAGAGCCCAATATGGAGCCGCCATATTGGTATACCCGTTGTACACCAACAAATAATTATATGGGCTCCTGTGGATTTCATCCTTTTGATTGTCATCTCGTGATAAAAATAGTAAATTAAAATCAGTCTCAATTTTGAAGTTTCAATTTTGTTTACAAATTAAATTTGGCGGTCCAGTTTACAATCTCATCCAAGATAAAATTCGTAAGACGAAACCTTTCCCGAAAATACTTACAAAATTAAAATCCAAAAGTTGGATATATGATGTGTAATTTTTGATTTTAAATTTTGAATAGGTTTTACGGAATTGAAAAGCAATNTTTTTTTTTTACCTTAGCTTTTCAACACATCTTTAACCATGAAATAACTTTCCAAACAGTAATGTGATGATCAATAATGTGAGAAAGAGTTGTTTATGTTTATGATATGCCCCAAACAGGACTTTTCTGGAAACACGGACCAGAGTACTGTTGTTTCACATGAACTAAACCCACCAATCAGAGCACGCTACGTCCGTTTTCGACCAGAAACCTGGTACGGCCACATCTCAATGAGGGTAGAGCTCTATGGATGTCAAGGTAGTGCAAAAAGGCTTTCATTTCGCACTCATATAAATAATGCTTTGTACAGTCTAATCTAAAGAAAGGAAAATGAAACAGAAAATATTAAGTGTTTTGAAGCATATGAAGAGGTCTTTGCCATTCCCTTGTTACCAAATAAAGAAATGGTTGACGCCCCCATCTCGTTAATAAGCCATTTATGAGTTGCTTTAGCCTCTGTTTCAAACGAGTTTTGGTGCATATGGAAATGAGATTCTATTGCACTTTCATTGTCACGCGAATCAAACTCATTTCCACACTAAAGGTTGTGCGCCAGAACTCGTTTTAAAACAGGGAGAGATGAGCAACTCGGAAATAGCCTATTTGATCTCACTTCTCCCCGGCCCAAACTTCTGGTGGGATGCTAGAAAAACCTCTTTATCCCAAATATATGTATACTAAAGCTGTCGAATTCGTACAGAAAGATCACCAAATTTTCCATTGGCGTAT